AAATTCAAATTCAGAAGCTGGAGTTTTGAACACAAAGAAATAAGTATACAAACAGACTAATTCAAAATTTGTAACAGTCTGTACGGGGTATGGTCCTAAAAGTTAGAGTTCTGTTAGAGTTCAGATTACTATCGTATAGGTGGTTATAGCTTTCTTACGTATTTTTATATAAAGTAGTTTCGCTACAGGACCACATTAACTGCTAAGAAGACTACAGTTTTAGGAAGTACAATAGCGTGTTATAATCCGATCTAAATGATATAACGGCTGTCCTGAACAAATATCAGTCCAGTTTTTTTTTAAAATTTTTTTTTTTGCAATGGCATAGATATATACAATGGATGGCTTTTGAAGGTTATTTTAGTCTAGCGCAGGTTCCGATTTGTCAGTTTGTAATTCCCCAGTTAAAAGTAATTATTAATTTTCACATATTCATAGATAGTCATTTGCACATAAAACCTCTTAAGATTTTACTGCCTTTGAGTTTACATTTAATAGATATTTGCATATATTTTTAAATGAAAATCCTCTTAATAGTTCAACTCGAATATTCAAGTGTTATGTACTTAAGAGTTTTGTATGCATCTGTGGAGCTCGGATTCGTACAATGGTACACTTTCTGTTTACATTTGCTTATCGAACATTGAACTTAGCTTTGACCCTCTTTAGTTGTCGTTAAAATGTTGTTGTTGTTGTTGTTATAACTACTGCAATTACTGTTCTGCTGGTGATAGTTTGGTCCGCATCTGCAGGTGAAATTTTGCAATTGTGGGTACGCAAATTTTCTATGATTGTGGCAAGTGGTACGCGCCATAAATAAATAAGTTTTAAAGTATTCAATATGCAAATAATGCAAATAATAATAAATATTTTCTTCTTCCACTACTCCTATTGCTACATCTACATCTATATCTACATCTATATCTACATCTACTTCTATGATTACGAATACTATGGTGTCTAAATTTCCCTTTTTACGGCCGTAAAATAGTGCATTTTAAGTGGCAACTTGTGAAATTTTAAGACTTCACACTTGGAAAATAGAATTTTATGCACATTTACTGGTGTTTATTCCACTCATTCATTCATTTATTCCATTCATTTATTTATTTATTGCTAAATAAATGTTAATATCTGTTAAAATCCATTTGCAATGCAGTTCCTTTGCAACATTTTCATTCATATGAATTGCGCTCCATATTCTTTTATAAGTAATAGGCTTGCCGTTGCATTGCCCTACATCGAGCTATTTTCTATAGGGTTTGATGTTTTTTCTTTATATGGTTCCGCACCGTAATAAGTATAAGAATAAGAATGCAAAAATTAGAAAAAAAAAGAAATTGAAATATTTATAATAAGTTTCTACTTAAGTATGAGAAAAATATCTATAAATATGTGTGTTTATGGTGAAGGGAATGGAAATATGAGCCTGCAAATAGCTTATGCTATGAAACTTAGAAAGCAAAAGGTGAACGACATTATTAAAATCATTATAGCACTACAAGATACAGATTTGGACTCCTTAAACTACTCGCTCGGCTGATACAGATTGCGAGCCGATGTCATCTAATTGGGTGCTCTGGTGTTAGACAGTTTTGATCTACGCTATTATACTATAATGATCCAATAGTAATATCATCGTCATTATCATTATTAGCACAACAATTAGTATCCAGACTAATCACTCGGTCCATTCAGATTACGAACCGAAGTCATCTAATTGGGTACTCTTGTGTCAGAGTTCTGATCTACACTACTCTTTCAGCGTATACAAAGTCTGTCTTGCTGTCAGTTACCACTGAATTTGTTATCACTTGCTTGATTAAGATTACGAGGCGATGTCATTTAATTGGTTGCTCTAGTGTCAGAGAATTCTGATCTACACTATTCTTTCAGTGCAGACACAGTCTGCCTAGCTGTCAGTTACCATTATATATGCAGCATAGAACTTACATATTAGACTCATTTTACTGAATCTCTTAAACAAGTCTTTCATTTGATCTCGATTGTAAGCTGATGTAATCCAATTAGGTACCCTTAGTCTCCGAGCGTGCTGTTCCACGCCATTCTTTTATTGTAGACATGGTCCGTCTTGTTTCCACTTACCATAAAATACGCCACATAGGATTTTAGGAGCGGACTCCATTCATTAAATTAGGTGCGCCAGTCACTGAACATAGAACATAGATTTCTTTAGTATCAGAGAGTTCTAATATACGTCATTTTTTCAGCGCATTCATGGGTTGCCTTGCTGCCACTTATCATTAAATTTTCCGGCATATGACTTTCAGAGTAGGCTCTCTTCATTGAAATGAGCTTAATGATTTGACCAATGGATTCCATTATGCTTTATTTTTGTGACTATATGTGGTTAAAGCTAGACCGGTTTTTCTTCGTAGTTGTAGTGTCTGCGGAATCATCCGTCTTCACATGTAGAGCCAACAATTCTTCGTAAAACTTTTTTTTTGAACGCGGCTAACAACTCAAAATGTTTTCTTTTATGCACTTAAGTTTCGGATCTCTAAGAAAGTACTGATAGGATCACTGGTTTAAAAAGCAAGAGCTTAAATATTTTTTAATGTTTTTTTAAATGCAAAATACCTTCTGCTCAAAAGTACTCGGATTTTGTAAATAAAACATACAAATTTAAATTTTATGCTAAATTTATTTTATTTCCTTCAAAATATGCTTATTCTGAAGCGATACACATATGCCAGCGCTTAACCCAATCTTTCATACACTTTTCGTAGGCCCGTAAAGGTATGGCTTTTAGTTCCTTCAGTGAATTCTTTTTTACCGATTCAATCGACTCAAAACGCTTACCACGAAGGAGAAATTTGAGTTTCGGGAACAGTAAAAAGTCGCACGGATCCAGATCTGGCGAATATGGTGCCTGAGCGATGACAGTGGTGCCGTTTGGTCAAAAAATCGCGTACAACAAGAATTTTCCATAGTAAAAATCGATAAATGCACTTGAGGTAGCCTCACATTAACAGCTGATGTAAACAAACTAATTGACAGATGGCGCTCAAATTTGTACCATATGTCAAGAAAGGGTGTACCAACATAAGGTCTATTATTTAAGGAATAGTTAACAAAAAACGAAATCCGGGTACTTTTTGAGCAGAATTTAAATAATTCGGTTATGCAAAATAAAATTTTTTGGTTATGCAAAAAAAGAGCACTTTTTGTAAAGAATCCTGTCTACTTTGGAGTTCACCTAATTTATTAATCTACTGTATATTCCGTTTCTCATTAATGCTTCGTAGATTTTTCTATTTTAATATACATTTTATTCAGATATATTTAAAAATAACAGTGATACAAAAAATGTGAAAGGAATTGAATGTACTATATCAATGACATTATCTTAAACATGCAATCTATTTATATGACGAGTATCTTCCAAAAATAAATTTCACAACTCACCCAACCCAGCGTCATCAAATAATTGTTATCAGAATTGAAAACAAAAGTGTTTTTCGAGTAAAGTCGAGCAAACTCTTCAGAGTCTTAACTGTCATCAGAGTTTTAACCGAAATTTATTTTAAATATATCCAAAGGCGATATTTGTTATCTGCATATAAAAATACAGATATTAAATATTGTGTCATATACACAGATACTTGTCTGTATGTTTGTCTGTCTGGTCATGAAATGAATTGTAATTTTGTGCCACATTTTGCAATATTTCATATTTTTTTGTCTTCTTTGTTTCTTCACATTTATTTTTATCTGTTTTTATTTTTACATTTTAATTTATATTATTTACATATCTTAAGATCTGTCGTTTTATTTTCTTCTTTATATTTTTTTTTTGTAGTTTTTCTCTAAGGCCAAAATATATGTGCATTTGCAATGCAAAGATGCAATGCATTCACCAATGCAGATATACTCGTATTAGTAGAATGCATCCCAAAGACCCAACCCCGGAGTAAATGAGATTTTTGTTACTATATATGTTACTACTGTAAATTAAAAATCATATTTTCAGCTCCCTTTAAAATATATTGGTTTATCATTAAATGCTTTCGGAAGAGTTTATTTTTTTTTTATTGTCATTAATATTATTAAAACAGATATATCTTATATCGTTAATAATACCATTAATAGTTATGAAATTATTACACAGCACTGTTCTATTTCCCACTCTTTACATCTATACATCGCTGGGATGTCCGCTTCATCTCTGGAAATACGTGTTTTATATTGGATCCACTAGTTCATGATATTTAAGAGCCACTCGTCACTCCCGTACGGGTTATAACAAAAATAATCACAATAAACGAGATACTGCAACAAGGAGCAGTCATATATCTCATACTGTTATGCCCGATATTGTTTATTCTGAATAATTAACGATTCTGTTTCGGATCCTGTTCAATCTATATATCCTGCTTATTTTTATATCCTATATAACTGGCTTCCTGCTTTATAACAATAAAGCAATAAATTTGAAATCGTACGTTCCGGGGCTATGTATGTCTACGGGCACCAAGTGCCGCTTATCACTTCCGTTTAGTTTATATTGCAATAAAAGGACTGGCACAAGTAGCAGTTACATATTTCATACTTTTTAGTCTAGATATGTCCTACATTGTTTATTCCGTTGTGGGATTATGTGGGACTTTACCACATAAAAAATCATCGAATACACTAATCGATCATACAATCTTTCTCAGTGTTTTGAAAAACACAAACACTGTGGCTGTTTTATAGTTTATTAATAGTGTAACCAATACATAAAGAGGACTCGACACGATAAATAGCGTATATTTTATTAAAATACGTGATACTTTTTGATCACACCCCATAGGTATATATTTTCTGAGATTTCTCTATATACATTTGGTGATATTATAATTATCACTACACGTTTATTTATTTAGTACTTTTTTGACCCTTTACATATAGAAGCTTTTTGATGTTTTTGATGTAATATAAACTTTGACCCATTCCTTTCAGTTATTAATTTTTATAATTTGCTCTTTTATTTATAGCATCGCAGAAGAAAAGAAAAAACTCGGTAACGATCACTACAAAGCTCAACATTATCAGTCTGCATTAAAATTATATAATGATGCGATCTCACTGTGTCCGGATATGGCCGCCTTCTACGGCAACCGTTCCGCATGTTACATGATGCTGTCAAATTACAACAATGCTTTGCAGGATGCCAGAACAGCTATACGGCTTGATCCAAAGTTCGAGAAGGCTTATGTACGTGTGGTTAAGTGTTGCATCGCTATGGGCGATATTACCGGCGCAGAGCAAGCTGTTAAGAGTGTGATGGAATTCGATCCAACATGTGCATCAATTAAGGTCGAGGTAGAACAATTACAACAATTGCGAAAACTAGAAACTACCATCAAAAGTAACTATGAAGCAAATTCGTATCGTAACGTAGTTTATTATTTAGACAATGCACTAAAGTTTTCTCCTGGTTGCAGCAAGTGAGTGATAGTTTATCCTTATTAATGTAAATAAATAATTAAAGCAAATAATTTTTACCTTTTCATAGATACCGTTTATTAAAGGCTGAGTGTTTAGCATTTTTAGGACGTTGTGAGGAGGCTGTTGATATAGCCGTCACTATGATGAAAATTGACAGTAGCTCTGCGGATGCCATTTATGTGCGTGGCTTATGTCTTTATTACACAGATGCGCTGGAAAAGGGTATATTGCACTTTGAGCGTGCTTTGCAATTAGATCCTGATCACGCTAAAGCTAAAGAAATGCGTTCGAAATGCAAAACATTAAAGGATATGAAAGAAAATGGCAATGTACTCTTCAAGTCCGGTCGTTTTCGTGAGGCACAGGCTGTGTATACAGAAGCGCTCAAAATTGATGAACTTAACAAGGAAATCAACTCAAAATTATATTATAATCGTGCGTTAGTAAATTCTAAAATTGGCAGCTTACGTGATGCTATTGCTGATTGTACTCGTGTTCTGGAGATTAATGGTCACTATTTGAAGGCGTTACTGTTACGTGCACGTTGCTATAACGATTTAGAAAAATACGAGGAATGTGTGGCTGATTATGAGTCAGCTTTGAATATGCAAAAGACTAGTGAAATTAAAAAGTTACTGCGTGACGCAAAGACTGCATTGAAACGTTCAAAAAGGAAGGACTATTATAAAATCTTGGGTATTACTAGATCTTCAACAGATGATGAAATTAAGAAGGCGTACAGAAAGAAAGCTATGGTACATCATCCGGATAGGCATGCCAATAGCAGTCCTGAAGAACGTAAGGCAGAGGAAATTAAATTTAAGGAGGTCGGTGAAGCTTATGCAATATTGTCAGATCAATACAAGAAATCGCGCTATGACAACGGACAAGACGTTGATGAATATGAATCAGGTTAGTGCAATAATAAATAAAAGTTGTTTTTTTTTTGTTATGTTATCTATTTGTTTCAAACATATGTAAACTAAGAGCTCTTAGACAGATTAGAGAGTTAGGTTAGGTTATACCAGTGATTTTAAGGGTTCTAATTAAGCGTATTGGTCCATTATGTTACCGCATAAGAACTTTAGGATTAAAAAAGACCCTAAAACTGAAAAATGCCGTTTAGATTAAGGTCTTGCTGTTGGTCAAGATGTTTGTAAAATAAAGCTTTTAGTATGGTTAATTGGTAACGCGTATGCAATGGGCAGTAACAAAGCAAATGTAAGGCACTTTCGTCCTCTCCACAATTGCGGCAAGAGATAAATACGTAAAGAATTAACATTTAAAAACTGACTAGTAGATTTATTTTAGATTAGAACCCTAACCTTATGAGGTTGTTATATTAAAACTAAAACCGGCCGACAATATTTTGTACAGCAATGTTAAATTTAGTTGCTTAGTCAAGTTTTGTGAAAAAAGTAAATACTTGAAATGAATCGTTTGCTTTTAACTATCCTAAGCAACCCATAAACTAATAGGAATATATTGCAATTGAGTTCTTTAGAATTTGGTATATTAGTAATATTTCCAACGTAAAAAAATATATCGGAAACACACTATATATGTTTTTAATTAGTTTAATGCTTGACTTAGCTTAGCTTAGCTTTACTTAGCTTAACACTAAATCATTAGGTCCGCTTGTCGGACTGTCTGGTTTAAGATGGATAATTTGGGTAATATCGGTTTACATTTTAACTTAGTCATAATCACATAAAACTTTTCATATAAATTTTTTTTCAAATAAAACTTGAGTTCGAGTACTAACGAATTTGCTTGATCCTATTATACAGAGCTAGTCGTAAAATCTAATTGCATTAAATTTATCTTTAAAGAACGAATTTGTTGACATTGCTAGAAAAAAATTACAGGAGGATTGGTTGGCACGTCTAACTTTTAGATTCCTTAGCGGTACTAGTTAGAGATTTGATAAATACTATAATAGGCAGATTAGGGAATGTGTGTGCTTTTTGTAGGCATTGGTTAAATACTTTTACGAGGTCTGTCTGGAATTTTGAAAAAGTCAAAACTAACATTTCTTAATTCTTTGAGGAGTAATACTCTTTTAGTTAAATAAATTAAAAAGTATAACAATAACAAAAACATATTTAAATATGTAATTTCAATTGACAATAAGGTTAATTTTTTTTAATTTTTTTTTCTTTTGCAGAAGTCGATCCAAATCAAATGTTCAAGACTTTCTTCCAGTTCACTAATGGCGGTAGCAATGGTCGAACTGGCACATTTAACTTTGAATTTTAGACTAAATAATATATATACACCCAACGTTGTCAAAATAAAAAAAATGTTAAAAAATTAAAAAAAATAAAAAAGCAGAAAAGAAAACATGGTATATTAGCAGAAAGACTTCAAGACCTCAACTAGAGCAACAAGAACGACTAGAGCCACCACAGTCGAAGCGTGACGCGTTACAACACCAAAAACAATAAAACAATAAAAAAATGAGAAACAATAAATGAATTCATTAATAATTGAAGAAATATAATATGTAGCCTTAAAACAAACACATTCTAAAATAGCAGTAAATAGTATAAACATAGACCTATGCCAAGAAACCTCTTTTCGGCTTAGTATAAATGACGTCATTTAAAAGCCTTTAAAGCCGACATTTTGTAATTTAATTCATATAAGCTATGCACACTAGAAGGGAGATAAATAATTATCTTTCTGTTAAAAAAAAATTCCTTAAGAGCAAACAAATTTGAATAAACTAAATACTCTGTTTAAAAAAAAAAACTGAATTTTTTATTAATTATTTGGCAATATTTGAGGCACAAAATTTAAATATTATAACTGAACTTATTTGCTCATTTATAAATAAAAACAGTATACAATTACTATTGTTTTAAATTTTATTAATTAATTTAGTTTAATTGCAAAAACTCCTTAATTTACTTTGTACATAATACTATGTTCAGACACTCCTTAATTTTTCAAAAATCTTACTTTCATCTTCGTTTCAGCGAAATTAAGTTGTTTTTTTCGATAAAAAACGAAATTAAGGAAAATAACCTTAATTTGGTTTAAACGAAGGGTGAAATTAAGATAAATTAGCATAAGATAAATTTTATGCAAAAGATAAAGTTGAGATAACGAAAAAGGAATACTTTTTTTAAAGAAATGTCAATGACAGTTGACTTTAATGAAACCCGGAAATTATTTTGAAAGTAGTCCAAATTTTTAAATTTGAATATAAAGAAAAAATTGTAAATGTTGTTAATTTAAAATATAGTAAAAAATAATAATTCACATACGTTAAATCCACTAAAGCTAATAAAACTACTGAATGCCATTCTTTATAGATACAATAAGCAACATTTAAAATTTCCCAGATACAAATAGTGTTTGGAGCATATAATTTTTAACATTCGATTTATAAACAAAAAACATATGATTTCCTTAATTTAATGCAATATGAACACTTTCCAAATTAACTTAATTTCTTTTTTGCGAAATTAAGAAAATTTGGCTGTCTGAACATAGTATTAAAATTCAAAATTAATATAAAAAAACTGTTTGGTAAAGTTAAATATTAAAATATGTATATATTATATATTCATATATGTGTGTTTAATATATTATGGTATGGCTTTGTAACTATGATATGATTACAAGGCCGTGACAGTGACAAAACTTCAGAAGCTGAAGCTTTGAGCACAAAGAAATATATGCAGATTGCGTGCTTCCTGTATATATATTTCTAGGCTAATGCTTTGGTTTATAAAACAAAAACAATCGTAGAAGGGGGTCAAGTTTCAATATTTATCAAGAGCTGAAAGGTATCAGAGAAAAGTCTACCCAAATACAATTATTTTCGTTTCTTAAACGAAGAAATCAGGTATACAGAAAACACCTGATACAAACGCTTTATATATATATATATTATATATGTATGTATATATATATATTATGTATGTATATATATATATTATATAAGTGTATATATATATATTATATAAGTGTATATATATATATATTATGTATATATATATATATATTATGTATGTATATATATATATATTATGTATGTATATATATATATTATATAAGTATATATATATATTATATATATATATATGTATTATATGTATATATTTTATGATGTGTATATATAAATATTTTACATATGGATACTACATACTTTATTTACTTTTTAAAAAGAATAGTATTGAAATTTAAAAATTAAAAATAACTATAATTATGCACTTTTGTTTTTAATTTTTGAGTTGTTATATCAAAATTATTTTAAAGCCGGTTTTGTTTTTTTTTTTGTAAGAATATTAACTTTTATTTCTAGCGTTAATTTTTAGTATATTTCTATACGTATTTCGGCAAATTCGCTTCTGCCAAAATCCGTTTTGTAATTAATTTACGTAATTAATTAAGTCAATTATTCTACAGCTGATTTATAATTTCGTCCTAATATAACACAGCAAATGAATTTGTTAATGAACTTTCACAGCAAATTTACAAAAACTACTCCAAGTTCGAACATACAAGTCAAGTACGGCTTCGGGTCTATTTATATTCTTAAGTCAGAGATTAGGGTATTGTCTCCAGTTTTTCTCATACCATTTCTTCAATCTTTATATATGTGACTACATTTTTTTTATAATTTAAATTTATTTTTTTATGTTTTATATTTTTTTCTAATTTAATATATTTTAAATAATCGATTTTTTTGTCAAAAATTTTAATTTTTTTTATTAATGTTGCGTATAATTTGCCTATAATTCAGTATAAAGTTTTATTTTGAATTGTTTATAATTTTATCATAAATTTTATTATAAATTTTTATTTTTAATAAACGAATTTTAATTTTTTGTAAATATATTATTATTTGTTGTAAATAACTTTATTTTTATTAAAATAAATTTTTTTTTATATAAAGAAATAATTTTTTTTTTAATAATTTGTGTTTCTTTAATATTATTTTTTATTAAAATGTCTAAAAAATTGTATTTATCTTAAATAAATTTTTATCCAATTCAAACAAATTTTGTTGAAATGCAGAAATGATTATTTGGAATGAATTATGTTTTATATAAATCTTCATTAATTAAAAAAGTGTTCACTTATTTTAAATATAATTTTATAAATTTAAAAATAGTTCATTAATTTTGAACCAATTTTATTAATTTTGAATGCAGTTTTGTTAATTTCAAATTAATTTTATTTTATTTAAATAAATTTTATATTAAATTTGATTTGAATGTCAATATGACAGAACTGAGTATTTTTACTTTAAAAGAAACTGTGGTATGATGAAATTTAACAATTAAAAATAAAAATAAAAATATAATTAATTAATTCAATTATAGCTGGTTTATGATTTCATTTTAAACACAGCATATGAATTTGTTAATAAAACTTTCACAACAAATTAACAAAGCTCCAATGTGCGAACAACATAAAAGTCAAGTACGGCTTTGGTTCAGTTGGTGAAAGAGCGCTGACTCTGAGTTTCAAATTTGGCAGGGTACGAGTTCAATTCCTGGTACTTGCAGTTTCAAAAAAATTATTTAAGAATAATTAAATAAAAGAAATTTTTTCAAGATCACTAGTGATGGGTATTTGGCAATATTCGAAATAGCCGTATGGTCAGCTAAAAATTCACTTAATTAAAATAATATAAAAATAATATTTGTTGTTGTGGCTCACTACTGTTAGAAACTTCTCTATTCAATAAATTTTATTTATTAAAAATGAAATTTTTCATATTGGAAAAAAATTTTAATTATTGTAAATACTTATTCATTTATATTTTATTTATTATGAACAGTTCTTATTTGTTATGATTAAAATATATGTTTTAGATAATTATTTATTCTAAATAATTTTTTATTCATGTCAAATAATGATTCATTTATTATATATAATTTTTTTTTATTCAAAATAAATTTTTATTTTTAGTGAACATATTTTTATTTATTGTAAATAAATTTTCATCAATAAAAATTAATTTTTACAGTAAGTAAATTTTTATTTCTTTCAAATAAATTTATATTATTTGTAAAAAAATTTTTTTTAATGAAAATAAATTTTTATTTATATTAAAAAAAATTTAATTTATTTAAAAATAGTTTTGTTTATTTTAAATAAATTTTTATTTATTCTTAATAATTTTTTTTTTGTTCTAAATAAATTTTTTTTACATTTTTAATTATTTTAAATAAGTTTTCATTTATTTTAAGTAAATTTTATTTATTTTAATTAAAATTTTTTATTTGTTTTAAATATGTTTTTATTGTAAATACATTATTATTAACCTTGAATAATTTTTTTTTGTATTCTAAATAAGATTTTATTTATTATAAATAATTTTATAAAAGTTTATTTTGCTCATAGAAGTATTTATTTTAATTAATTCTTATTTTCATTCATTAATATATAAGTTTATTATCAGAAATTCGTATTTGATTATAATTAAACTATATTGGTGCTATCTAGATTAAATTCTAACTTTAAATTTATTTTTTTTTATTTGTCTAAAAATTTTAGTTTTTTGAACTCAACCTTCTATCTGGTGTTTTTTTTGATATATACATCTTTCGGATTTATGTATCTTGGAGAATCCTGGAGAAATTTACTCAGTCTGATTTACCTGTAAGCTTGCTTTCTTTCCATTTTTAGGTTTATGTATCTATAAGGACTATAGTTCCATTCTGATCTATGTATCGGATTGTGAATCCCAATTTTTGATATTATACATTAACGACTTATTTATATTTCAACTATTTGAATTATTGTTTAAGTTATATATGTTTAGTCAAATATTTTTGTTTTTCTTATTGTTAAATAGTTACAGATAATCTAGTTTAAAAAAAGCTTAGTTCTGCATCAGAAAATATTAGTATAGGATCTGGTAAAACACTTATTCAACAAATCGATATTTTGAGGTTGGAAACAGCAAACGTTTCGGGACGTATGCCCGATCACTTCTGGAATCAATAATATTTGCTAATCATTGTTGACAAATAACATTGTATTGCGTTGAATTAATTTAGATACTCTTATATAATAAATCATATAGTGCATTATAGTATTGATTAAAGCTCAACTACTGGCAATAGGTTTTATCACCTCTTCGAAGTTATTGGATTCTCATGAAAACCTTGTTTACCCATTTCAGTTGGATAATACACTTCGGATGCTTTTACACTTAAGTTACATTACTAACATTTAAATATTAAAAAAAAAAATTATGATTTATAATTTTAAATTATGAAAATTAATTACAACTCACGACAGAATTGAATGAAGTTTGCGAGAGCCAGATGAAAGCTACACTAGGCCATAATCTTACCAACATTATAGTCTATATTCTAATTCAAAACGACTATGGTTATAAAGAGTGATGAAAGGGAAAATTGCAAGCCAGAAATTGACAAGACTTCTGTCTCATAATTTGAATAAAATCAATGGTTAGTATATGAATCTTAAGGATGTGGGGTGACAGGTTATAACATCGGTTGAAGCATTTCCTTCTAAGGAAGAGTAAATTATCGTCTATGCGAATTGCTTTTGAAGTGTTATATAAAAAAATTTAAATAGTGTTTGACATGAGGTCTATGTTAGCAGTTGATACAATACTAACATGAAGGTAGAAAAATTAATAGTATAAAGTAACACCAAAGAAACGTTACCGACTCTAGTGGTATTCGAGAAAAACCTACACAAGTAAAGCAGTAAAAGCACTGGATAATACACCACAAATGATCCTACATAGAAAATCGAAGAAATAATCTAATAATATTAATCACAATTTCAATACAACTAATGCAATGAACTCTACAGGGAGAGAGGTTCGTATGATAATTGACTTCTATTGATTGAAATAAGATAAGCATAGTGGGAACCATTTTAAGAAATTCAGTTCCGCGGGCAGAGTAAATGGTCGCATGTTTTTTCAGAAAAACCGGTCATGTCGCAACTGTATTACTTTAACAATATAGAAGTATAAATCCTGAGTGGTGAATAACCATTTATTTAACATAAGTTTTCGAAGAATTGAGGAAAAGCAACTATCGAAGAAAGATCATTCTCCATCACGACAATGTGAGCTCTCACACATCACTCAAAACGTAAAATTGATAGATCCGTCTTACAGTTCCGATTTGGCATCCTATGACTGTTTCTTGTTCCCAAACATTAAGAAAAATATGCGTAGCGCGCGTTTTTCTGCGTGGAAACAGGCATTTGAGGCATACAAAGCCTTGGTTTTAGAGATACCAACTGTAGAGTGGTTAAACTGTTTCGAAAATTGGTTCATCGAAAGCAAAAAAAAATTGATCATCATGGAGAATAGTTCAAAAAACAATAAAACTATTTTTACTGATTAACCTTTGTGTTTATATTGTTAGATGCAGAACCTAGAACTCAGTTTTGAGCTCTACGGAACCTATCCCAAAAACTCCGTGTATATAAGAAAATGAAACAAATTTTTTCAATTTCCACATAAATAGGTAGGTACACATTTATTTTAATTATTTTTGTTTTTTTTTTATTTTAAGCTACAATTCACTATTTAAACTAACTAAATACATACACACACATTTGTAAATGTTTAAAAGTGTAAAACAATATAAAAACAAATTTATTTTCAATAAAACTTACAAGCGAATAAAATAAAAATGATAAACATTTAAAAAATATCTTAAAACTAATATTTCTATAATATTTAAATTTCTGTTAAACAAGGTACGGTATATTTCTTTCTCTCTTTTTTATATACACACAAATGTAAGCACCACAGTTGCACGGACCATCGCAGAGCTTATAGAGTTTACGCGGTTGCATTGATATTACAGTATTTTACTTAAGAGACTTCCATTTCTTTTTTTTTTTGAAACAAAAAAAAAATTACTCTCCAACACTGTTAGAGTCCGTACAACTCCATAGATTGATATATACCATCTATAATGGAAGTGGATATACATTTTCAACTATATAATTAATGTGTATGTAGTGCTTATGTACTTAGAGTACATACTATTTTTTACATAATAATTAAAAAATAAAATTGTATATTTGAATTTTTGATTTCATTTTTTTTTATATTATATATATTAAATTTCTTATACACATACATAAAGTTACATTCACATATACATATATAATTTATTCATATATTTATGTATAAATATAGTAAAAACAAAAACTAAAAAGTAGAGTTCTTATGTTTTATAAACAATTAAATTCTATGTATTTCTTTTAAAAATTTTGTAAATTGTATATATGTATAAATGTATAAATATGTTTATAAAAAATTAAAATTAAATATATGAGACGATTGACTGACTGACAAATAAGCGAGGTACACAATTCTTTGAATTCTTTTGCATTATTTAATATAAATTATATACAGAACTTTTACGGTTTACTTATATTATTTGTTTTTTTTTTAGTGTAAAAAAAATTTATTGAGTTTTTTTTTATTTCCAATGATAATGCATATTGAAGAATCGAACGATTTCATTACTGAAATCGAACATTACTACACATAAAACATAAATGGTGGAAATGTTGGATTTCATGTGATACAAATATGGAGTTTATGTAAAAAGAATGTTGAAACGACATCTGAAGACATTCTCTGTCAATGCCTTAAGCTAAACAAAAACAGATTTATCCATTTTGAGGAGAGTTTTGTCGCCCCTTATAGATAAGTTGAAGTGGCGGCTTTTTTTCCAAAAAGCCCACTTGAGCTCAAATAATGGCCCATTGTGGTACCACGGGAATAGCATTGGTCCGTACATAGATTTAAATCAGTGTGCAGCCAATGCCGAAAAAGGTAACGAGTCCCCCATTAGGTAAAGGAAAACTAACCTGAAAATTCTAAAACTTTCGCCAGGTCCCTAATATTACAGGATGACAGCTCAGTTAGGTCGGTGAGAAAAAGACCCCAAAGATTTTTGATATTTTTCCAGCTACAAAAGGGCACTGACACCTGAGATGGTCCCTAATATTACAGGATGCCAGCTCAGTCAGGTCGGTGAGAAAAGAGTCTCAAAGATTTTTGATCTTTTTCTAGCTAAAGAGGGACACTGACACATGAAATAGAGTACGGTCTCCTCCACATGCTCGGAGCCACAGTCTGGATAAAACTCATTACAGGGTAGATACAGTTTCATAGCATGCCGAGCAGTTGAGCAGTTTCCGCCTTAGTTGCAGTAGCTGACTACTTCGTTTCCTGTCTAAATTAGACCAAGTTCACCTAGATATGTGATAATAAGGTTCATCAGCCCAGTATTGCTTAACTATGCCCAGCTTAACTGTTAACTGTAGCAAGTGGAACGCCTATATTTGAGAAGAAAATGTTAGGAAAAAGAGCCCCTGCATTGGCAAGCTCATCTGCCCTACAATTACCCGAGATATTCCTATGACCAGGGACCCAAATGAGTTTAACCCTAATAAACCTAGCTAGGTCATTAAGAGAAGCACAGTAGTTTTGAGTTATAACTGATGTGACTGAAGTGCCTATCAGTGATCTAATGGCAATAGTGCTGACGTTTAGTAAAATAATTATAATTATTGGGTAAAATATAATCAAATTTACCCGATCATTATAAAAATCTTGTGAATTATTAAAAACAAAATTTGAAGATAGTAGTACGTATCATTTACCAATAAAATGATTACCTTTTTATTGTTCTTGTTAAAGCCCACAATATTTTAATTTCGAACTTGTATTAATGACTACCTCATCTTATGGCATTTATGATGAAAGCTACTCCTGAAAGCTTAAAGTATATTGCCATTCATATGACAACACTATTAGGCATCATCCAAAAAAGGAAGCTTGAAGGGCTCAAGCTCCCCGAAATGACTTTGGAGACTATATTAATATATATGTGCATTCATACATACAAAAATTTGTTTTGGGTATATATATACTATACAACCAAAAGAAATCTTCTTTCTGATGAAGTGATAAACAATATTCTAGTCAAGGTGTAAAAAGGGGTTTTGAAAATACCTCGAGTTAAAAAAGAGTATAAGTGCTTAAGCGCACTAGCTCAAAACAGTTTTAACATAATAATAAATTATCAATTTTTTTATTTAAAATACATATTTAGTAAAAAATATTTAAAGTGTATTACATTATGGGCCAATGAGCATCAATAGGCTATGAGGCTTATTAGATTTGTAAATAAAAATAATTGTCGTATATGGAATAAAGTTTAGCTAACGGTAACTCAGTATATACAGAATAATGTATGATGTTAAGTGACCAGTTCTTCTTAATCTAGTGTCATTAAATATCATCATTTACTTTTACTAAAAAGGTAGCAATCATTAATTGGGTGTCACATAATTAACACATACTATTTATCAATCTCAAACAATGATCATCTACTAGCATTAACTTGGTTGCCGATTAATCAGTTGCCATAGTTACTTCTTTAAAGGAATGTGTAAAATTTATCTTGGTTGAGAATGTCTCTTCCACTTTAAAGATTATAGAAGTGAGCCCTATAGTATTAGGATTGTTTGACGACGTATTGTATTGCGGTAAGTCTTCTGGAAACCCTCAAACCAAGTTCACTTTTTTAGTTTTTTTTAGAGGAGGTGTCGCCATTAAGTCGTCCCAAAAAAGAGTCGTATATTTGCGGAACGTTGACTGGGCTCCTGTTGAAACCTGTGATTTACTCCTGGTATTTAAAGTTAAATTTAAAAAAAACAAAAAAAAGAATTTCTACGAAAGGAACATTCATATGACTGCTTTTCATTTCCACCATTTCATAAAATTTGTAATAAATAATTTTTTTTTTGCTTAAAATAAAATTTAAAAACAAAGTATAAAAAAAATTAACGCAATACCATTTGATTTTTCTTCTAGAACATGCTTAGTAACCCTTCCTCAACTTTGGCAATAAGTGTCACTTGGGTTGTATACGTGCACTGCGTTCCAGCTCATTGAATTGTCCATAAAAAAGTACTTCGCTTATAAGTTTTTCGGCAATAATGCGTTGTGTTCGATCCATGGATCGTAATTTAAGCGTTACATTTGAACCGATAAAATCGCAATCATCCTTATTCAGACTTTCAGCATATATAGCGGCTGCAGCAGCAGCTGCTGAGTTGGTTGCTTCTTGCGAAGCATTTTTACCAAGACCACCACCACCACCACCACCCACACCAGCAACAATCACGCTGCCACCATGGCGACCGCTTGTTGTGGTATCCTCAGAGATGCTTTCGTTCGAAAGCAATGAATTCATGAGCATTTGACCGGCCGTTGCGGACGCAGCACTTGAATTAACGTTCAGCTTACGCATATTGAGCGGTGAAAATTTCTCATCGATTGATTCCGATGAATGTCGCAAACTGCGTGGCAGAACGAAATGACTAAAATCTAAACTTTTCGCTGCGGCAGCAGCAGCAGCACTTACACGTAAATCTTGTGCAAAATCATCAGAATCAGCACCACCGCCACCCAAACGATTATCATCGGTCGAACTGTACGAATGGTGTGAACCGGGCGGCGCTGGCGGATGTGGTGCATGAAAATAATCGACCAGTTCTTGTTTGATATCAAGATCGTCTTGATCACGTTGTTCATGTCGGTTACGATGGGCCTCAAGCGTATTTGTATTTGGTATAGGACTAGAACTACCACCTTCTGTACCATCGGCGCCACTACCGCCACCAGTTACGTTACTTCCACCGCCACCTACTCCACCACCGCCGCCACCACCACCAACACCACCGCTGCCTCCACCGCCACTACTACTACCGCCAGCACGTAATGTGCTGCTGTCAATTATTCTAGTACCAAGGGTATTTGCACTACCGTTACCAGTAACTGAACTATCATGCATCATATTGGACGGTGAGGTACGTTCATGTTTTGTGTCTTCTTTATCATCAATATCTGCTGTTTCCATCGGTTTCTGCGGACTGGCACCGAGATCACTATTACTGCTACTACCGAATAGACTACGTGTACCAGCACCAACGGCACTCATATCATTTTGCGAGGCAGAAAATGGCATTGGTAATGGTACTCGTAGATGGCCACGTTCACCAATAGGCGGTGAAAATTGTCCAACCGAATTCCATGTATCCAATGTTTGGGTATTTGCAATCAGCATCGGCAAATTTAGGCCCATCTGAAAGCAATAAAAAATAATTAGCTTTTGTTTTTTAATTAGTTTATGCTAAAATTATTTTTTTTTTAATATATAAAAAAGTATAAAAAATTAAATTTTGCGATGACATAATTTAAACAAATTAGGAAAATTAAAGAATATTAATAAATTTAAAAGTAGCAAAAAGCTATTTAATTAAAATTTAAAATCAACACAAAAAAATTAATAAAATATGCAAAAATTTCGACCAGTCGAATCGACCCTCAATACTTTATATTATATTTTATTATATTATAATAAATATAATAATATATAATAATAATATTACATATATATTATATATTATACTGTATATAAAATAATAGAATATAATATATTCAGTGGTCGTAAATAGACCAATAGAAAATACAATTTATTAACAATGTTAATATAATTCTGTATTTTATATTACAAAGCTCTCAAAAGTTCTGTGTAAACAATATTTTTCGTAAACACCCTTTCATCATTAGCCCAATGACCTTGTCCACCTTCGTTACTGACATAAAATTTAAGCCCGTCAAATGATCTAACTCTCCTAGCTGTAACGTAAAATTGACCATGCGAAAAACAGGTCTTCTCGACAATATTCCAACTCTATCAAATGTCTGTCCTAGGGATTTGCTAATTGTCATAGCAAATGCGGTGATCATTGGAAACTGTGTTCTTCGTAAATTAAATGGCATTGCAGTCCCTGAACACGTCAAGCGTATGCGTGGAATCAAAATACGTTTTCCGCGAGCAGCTCCAGTGAGCACTTCACGATCTATTGTGTTATTATGCATTGCTTTGACTCGCATTCTTGTCCCATTCCCATTCACCAACCATTTGGGAATGGTAAAGGATATGTCAATGAATCCAAACCAGAATCTAATACATCACACCATTTGTTTTTGAAAAAGATATCAAATTTCTCTCAAATGGTAGTTCACCGTCTATAGTCGTAAATATAACCCCAACATCAATTCGAGTTACATCGTTATATCTTCGTGTATCTGTACCACGATTCACGGTAATTGCCATACAAATCTCTTTCTGTACATTGCATACTCTATCACAATGTTCCTACATTGTACGAAATGAACGAATAAATAGATTAATTCTATCCAAAAGAATGCTTTTCTCTTAAAACTGTGCCAGAAATATTAGCTTCCGAACTGACCATAACATAGGCCGAATTGTAGCTTCGAATACTGCCGAAATAATTTTTGGACTTTTTCTTTATTATTATGTTGAGGCTAATTGAGTCAGTGCACCTGAGCACTTTTACTCTCTATTAACTGCGAGGTTTCTTCAAAACCCCTTTTTGCGTCTTGACTAGATTATTGTTAATCACTTCATTAGACTAAGCAATAATTGACCTCAGATCTGCATACCTCTCCGAGGAACCTGTAACCTGCCTGTCTGTCAGATTTCCCAAATAATTTCAGGGCTCTATCCTTTATGTATTTTTTGATGGGATCAATCTTGATGTCCCTGAGGATGTCATTCGTCGTAATGTACCATAGAACTTTTTCTTTATATTTTTGTCATTTGATGTAAGACCGTCATACAATGAATTAAAAAAATCATTTTGTGTTAATAGTGGAAGATGTACTTTACCCTTATGAGACAACACATAGTGAAGGAATTTCTTTCACGCATTGCAGACTCTGAAGCAAAATGCTTAGCTAAACAATACCTACAAACCAAGTTCATAGAACCAATATGAAAGGGGTCAAAATTAGTTGCACATTTGAATGCACTTCGCAAGGGAACTAAATTATTATCAATATTATCATCAACTTTAATTAAATTTAAATTTGTAATATTAATTACATTTCGTGTTCTTCTTATTTGCATATTTTCTCTATTTTTTTGTCTCTCTACTCTCCCTGTAAGCGATTTACGGTAAGGCATGATGACACTACAATTCCAAAAAAAAAATTTCATTAATGGAATGAATGATTTCAAATAAACTCACCAATAATAAAGAAAGCAACTAATTAATTTTCAAACTCAACAAAATAAAACTTATTTTCCTGAAGTTTTACATTTTTTAATTTTACTACATTCATTAGTTAATTCGGATAGCCTACTAAGCTTAAGAAACAATTTAAAATTGATACTCAAAACCAGTATTGAAGTCCTACTTTGACTTTAGACAGTATTACATGCGAACCTACATGCGAAAAAATAAGGTTGTGCACTTCTGCACGTCTTCATCTTTCCAATGGTACAAATTTTATCTATATATGACAATGGGAACACAACCAAAAAGGGATTACAAACTTTTTGGTACCGCAATTATATATAGATTATATTAAGTCTAAAGAATCGTTTTTCTTCAAACTTTGACTTCTTTCACAGACACCTTTATAGTTGAATAAAACCTTCTTAATAAGAAAATAGTTAAATTACATAAGAATATAATTATATTTTTAGGTTGCCATTCAGATTTCAACAACCACAGTGGAATAGAATATAACAGACTCTATAAGGTATTAGCATCCAGCAGAGCAGAGCTTTGTGATCAAGACTAATCTTTGGTTTTACAAAGTAAACTTAACTAAAAACTAGACATTCTGTCCTTAGAATATATCCCAAAAGGTCAGCTTTTAAGCACATCATAGCAACAGTTGGGAATACAAACTCCTGTCCAGTAATCTTTTTCTCACCCAGATTAAAGTCAGACAGTCAGAGATAATGTGTTTAAAAATTTAAAAATTTCGTTCGCTTCCAGGTAATGGCGACATTCGGTTTGCACAGACAAACCTATCTTGTCAACATAATAACGCAGATTATGTTGACTTGTCAAATAACCTGCCAACAACTTTATATCTAAAGTTAACATTTTCTGATCATTGAAAGCGGTAAGAGCTACTACTAAAACAATGAAGAAATATGTGGCTGTCGACATTTATAGAAATTAAATTAAATATACTATATATAAAAAGCGGAGTAGCAACTTCAAAACAAACAAAATGGACTTAATGCTTCTAATAAAAGAAGAAAAAAAAAACAAAACTGTACCTCGGGTCTCCACCGAAGAATTTATTATACCTAGTACTTTTTCCGAAAGATAACGGTGAAAAAGAACAAAAAACAAGGACATGATGTAAATATATATAACGTACTACCCAGCCGTATTGTACTTAAGATAAGATATAATTGACGACTATATCTTAACTTTAAGTGCAATAAAAAAAGAAGTTATAATAATATATAATATTATTATTTTATTATATATGATTATATATTATATATAAATATATTTAATTACAATGATAAAGAGAGGTAGAAAAAAGAAGAACGAAATGAAAAAGAAGAAGAACACGAAAGAGGGACCATTGAAATTCATACATAGAACTAACTATCAAGAGTGTATTGTACTATAGAAGGGACAATGATACACTGCGACTTATAAATATTGTACTATAACCTAATAATATGAAGTAGTTAAGTTTTTAAAATACAGATATATATATATGTATATATACATTTGTTAAAGAGCCCTGATTTAGTTATGGATATTAATGTTGCAATGCAATATGCCCTATTTATATTAATACATATAATAATAATTTAATAAAAGATGGAAGAAAACAAGATATATATGAAATAGAAGTTCTTATGATAAGAATAAGAACTATTATATTCCTTTGCTCTATTATAGGAATAAGTCAAAGAATTTGAGGACATATAAGGAAAAATGTTTGGCGAAATGAAAGTGTAAGTAATTGATATTTTGTAAAGTCCCTTTCTAAGGCATAAAGAAATTTTTATTTTTATAAAAGGATATTTTATATTCCCATATATATAGGAAATTTTTACAATTTAAAAATGTGAGTTATTACAGTTATGGTTGGATTATAATAAATTATGATCAAATAGGTAAGTTAAAAGTAAACATTTGGAGAATTGAGAACGTGTGAAGTTGTGGAGGCTATAAAGTATTCTGTAAGATCCCCAGTATATGGTTTGTGAGCATGATGTAGGCATTGTTAAGACATCTATAGACACATGTAGATATATGTATATATGTATGGATGTATGGGTTAAATGATGCCAAGCGACATTTTGTTTATATTTTAAAGATTGTAGATGTAACCGAATGTAGCGTGTAAAATAGAATTTTTTTAATGCATAAAAGGCACATCTGGTTTAAGAGAATATTTTGATTTAATTTTTGAACTAAAAATTTAATCACAACTTAAAAATAACTACGCTTAATTCGTTCGGCAAAAAACCCAAACTTTAAAAAGTTGGTCTTAAATTAAGAAATTATTTAATTTTTTTATTTTTTGCGTTTTGTTTGATTTGAGAAATTCAAATTTAAATATTTCAGTGGCGCATATTAATTACAATTAAAAACAAAAAATAAATAAAAAAAAATAAAAATTTTTTCAAGTCGTGATCGCAAGTTCAAAAAATTCTACGCGCTAATATGGCACACATTCACCCCTAGAGCTGCTAAGAAATTCGTAAAAAAATACAGGGTGTTTAGAAAGCAGTCATATTACATATATAAAGCAAAGATATAAAAAAGAGGATTTAAAAGTGTATATATATTAAGATATAAATATAAGGCAGATGAATTTTGATCTCCCTCAAATAGATGTATTAGTAAGAGATTGAAAGCCTTGGATATTTCAGGTTCTCTCTTACTTTTATAGAAGATTTGCGTAACATCAACTTATTGTTGTTCAACTATTTTCTAAATTACTACGATCAGAAAATAACAGAGGCTTAGACTCTAAAAATATTCTCGGTTTTACAAAAAGAACGTTGGTTGACCACGATATTAGTACCACAACTCAAAAATTATATTCTCATGTGTGAGTCTAATAATTCTAACGATTTGTAAATGGTATTATCGCAATATGGATATTTATTTAGAATGAATGGTTATATGATCACCAGTAATTTTAGGATGCTTTAGCTGCGACTACTGCACCTAAGCAGATTCAACTCTAACTCAAGGGCAGTGGCAAAGAATAACCGGT